ACTTCCAATTTTCTTTTGCCTGTGCCCTTCTCTTGACTTTTTGGTATGACATAAATAGCATTATACGTATATATTCTTGAGGAAGTTCAGTTATCGTAAAATATATTTGTATTTTTTTTTGAACTAAACATTTATCAAAGTAAATAAGACTTTCTTTTATACTACAAAGTATTTCTACAAAAAGTTAAACGTTTTAACCTTACCCGTCAGTTATAAACGAGATGTTGACTTATTAATATAAATCCACAAAATTAAAAAAAAAACGGTCTGGCAATACACAAGATTTTGGAATGTTATCAGCTGAAAACCAATCAATATTTTAATGTAAAAAACAAACATTCATATCCGCATCTTTCATTGGATTCAATTGCAAAAGTTTGATATATTATGTAGGTACTGTTAGGAAGAAAATCCGAAAATGTGGCAGTGTATTGACCCAACACTAGCCTTACTAAAATGTCGACGTTTGTGTCCCCTCACTATTCATTCTGACACTGGACTTTGTAACGAGAGCACGTCATTCGCGCCTAAGGTTTCTAATTAATAATGTCTAAAAGTACTTAGTACTGTAAAACAGGTTCAATTTAATAATACATCAACAGGAGATAAAGGCACAGACAAGCCTATTCCTGTATAAACCTACTTTTATATTACACAAGCAAATTTTCATGCAACTTCGTTCGAATTTAAATTCTGCTACTACTTGCAATTAAACTAGTCGCTATCGGGGTTTTGATTAAAACTAACTCCGTAATTTCTGCATTAAGATAATTTTAAAACGATTAATTTAATATTGAAATTGATTACATATCGAAAATATTGAAAACCGTAATACAAACGAGAAGAACTGTTACGACGACATATTGTCACGGTAATAATATGAAAAGATAAATGTTGCTTCAGCTGGTCGATTCTCGAAAGTCAACACAAATTGAAAGAAAGTGACGTAGAGTTATGTAGAAAAAATATAACACAGATTATCGAGACAGTCAAGATTGTACCAACAAAACACTTAAATAAATAAATTAAATAAAAATAAAATATTCACGTATGTCAATAAAGACCTCAAAAAAGGTAAATGTTATAGATTGGAGTGAAATCATATAGACTTTGAGAATATATAATATTGTATATAATTTTTTTTAGCGCCCCCATATTTTCACATATTTAAAAACAACTATAACTTCAAATTAAATAATTAATTATTGTGACCTATAATGCATATTAACGGAGAATTCTCTTACCCGCAACTTGAGACCTGCAGCGCCTACAAGGGGGCGTTATCGCCCACTTTGGGAAAGACTGGTATAGGCTATGGAGAGTAAAATTATAGTCTATTAGCTTTTGCCCGCGACATCGTTTGCGCGAAAATTAAAAAAAAGAGCGAAAAGTATCTCATGTGCCAAGTTTACACATAAGATACTTGTCACCACTAAAAAGTATTTGTCTATATTGATAACTATAACTACGTAAAATTATTTCAAAGCTCAACGATCGTCGTCATTGTTTGACCTTGGGGTAATGTGCCCAGGATCCGCGACTGGCAGCCGGGTTCTTTGACCATTCATCACGAGGCTACCAGCGGAAAGTGTAACAATTCCAAGTAAAATATTAATTAATTACTAAAAACAAATTGTCGCCAATATAACGAGTAATACGGTACTATATTTCTTATTTCGTTTACAAATTCATATAATATTTAATAACTCAACTGCAATGTATTAAAAGACAATACATAATAATTTTTAACAAACTTCCTAAGAAATTTGATGTGTATTTCATTTAAATTAATCCATATTGTTTAGAAGGAATTGAATAATTTTTGTACTTCATCGCATACAAAAAAAATTAAAACAATTGTTGGGTAAATCTTAAATATATTTATGTCGTAATGGATAAATAAAATTATTGTACGTACTTTAGAATCAAAGAGCGGTGCGTTTTAAAAAAAAATAAAGCGCGACCAACTTCGAAATAAAGCAACTATTTGCATTGTATTTATCTAACATCTTGCAAATGCACTTGAAATATGCAAAACATGTAATTCGGCTATGCATTGAACTAGTCCACCTTTCACTCTGGAATAGGACCCCTCGCCGTTCAAAATCAAGTACAGTAAGTCTCAAGGCCGACAATATTATAGTGCATAATATACCAGTGCATAAATCTCATTGTAATCTCTTAAAATATTTTATATAATAATTTCACATTTAATTTGTGAAGCGCTAAGCATTTTTGCATTTAAAAAGTTAATTTGTGATGTATGTTTTAAATATCGATATTATGAAAGTCGTGGTAAATTTGACCTTGCCCGAAAATAATCGAATCTGTTCGATTTTCCAGAACAATCTCCAAAAGTCTCGTGAATTGTTATTTAAGTAAACGTCGAACCAGTTATTACAATCTTGTGTTTACTAAACAGTTTGTATACGAATTAGTCAATAAACAATTTTAGGTAAATTTACTTTATGTCTCGTTCCATTTCCTTAAAAAGCTTTAAATATTATTGAACTTTTTCTAGTAAATGTATAATTTTTTTATGGATAATAATTTTAAATTAAATAGATATTATTATATTAATATTAGTTTATCAAAGATAAATTTGAAAATTTGTGTTTTTTTTTCTAAATAATATACTTAATTTAACTATAGTCATTACAGATTTGTACGTATAATTTTTTATATATATATCATAAGGTGGCAAGCGAGCATGCGGCCACCAGAATTCGCCAAAATAGCGAAGAAACAGCTGCACGTAGACATTCACAATTGCTAATACCTTATAAGAAAAAGACGAAAATTAGGCCTTGGCACGCACACTTGTCAGACGTAACACGGAACTATTTCCACTTGACGCCTGTCTTCTGTGTGGTCATGGTATTACACCGAGCGAGGCGGCCTATTTGTACAACAGATGATGTTGCTGGAGTATGCCACAATATGATTAGATTATACTAATTCATTCTATAAAATTTGACGCCTAAAGGAACGAAATGGGGGTCCAAAATGTGCATGGGTCAACGTAATATATTCGGCTGAGTTATTTGAATACTTGAATATTTACATAAACGCTTTTCAGAACAAATACTTAAGAATATGTTTCGTGCTTTTCCAAAGTCCTGTGACTCTACTGGAAAAAAGTTGTAGAAACCGTCAAAAGTAGGATAAAGGGCCATCAATCAATACATTAGCCATTTTTATAAATATTTTTTTTTGTTTTAGGCAAGAACCATATTCATTACTAGCACTTCTTTGAATAGATTAAGTGAAGCCACGATCCGAGCGTCTTTGGGACTTACTGAAATACGAAATTACATAATTAATGTCAGCAAGAAAGGAACATAATGTCGTGGTCTTGGAATTGCATTTTTTCCCATCATATTTTTTGTATTATAGAAAGGTTTTTTATATTCTTGGTTGGACTATATAACCGATAAAATTACTCATAACTCTCTCTATCCTGACACATTAAAATTGTTTTGTCAGTTGTTATCCGTTACTTATAAATTAAATCGTATCGTTTCGTTTTTGTTCATAATAATTAGTTAAGCGAGGTCATACGATTATATTGTGCCTAATAAAAATCACCTGTTTAATACGTGTATATAGACAATTGTACTGTTTAACGACTACTGAATAATAAAAAATATTAAAATCTTATTTTATAAATAAGATCCAAAAATAGCAAACCGTTTAAAAAAACTCACGAGTTTATTAAACGAACATGAATACACACTCACGAAAACCATTACGCGCCTTTTGGGTCAGTCGAGTAATAACAAGGAATGTGTACTTAGCAAAATTACGTCGCATCAAACTTTATTCTGAAGACACTGAAATGTTCATATAATGCCACAATAACCATTGGTTTTTGATATTAAAATCTGTGTGCAAAATTTATGCCATCCCTGTTTTTATCTTAGACAAAACAGAGATAACAATATATTTTAAACAGAGGTTATAGTGTCAGAAACCCACGGTAAGTTAAATACAAATAAACTAATTAATGTGTAAACAACATCCAAATGTATAACAACATCCAATAAACACTAAACATAAATTTTTAAAACATAATAATCAAAATTACTTACTTTTGTTTTCTTCTCGCCTTGGATCGTCTATCTTTCGCTTGGAGTTGAATCCAAACAGCACTGCAAATTAATATACATTCTGATATTGTATTTCGTTAACACATATGTACATATAACATTAAGGCGACTTTAGTAATTTCCTTTCTTTAACACTGTTTACAAAACACTCAAGGTGGTAGATAATACTAAGTAGGGTCACGTATTACCGTTTTATTATGCAGGTCAGGTTAAAGGCTATTTTACAGAAAAAACCGAATGCAACCATTCTACTCCTAAACGATTCATTAAAACGGTGCGATTTACTAAACACAATCAGATTTTAAAGCTTCATATGTTATTCAAACTTGGAAATAAACAATTTCGCGTGATTGATTATAATTTTTATAAACTTAAATAATTAATAAAAAAGTAAAATAATAATAATAACATTTCCTAGTTATTAACATTGGAGCGAACCATAAAAGCAAAAACAATTGAACAATGAAATAGACAGAAAAAATGAAACAATATTTCTTACCGGCCAGTTCACAAAAAAAATCATAGCACCTGTAAAATGAGCATTTTATTTTTTATTATAAAACTGACAATGCTCTAAAATTCATTCGCCTATTTTATTGTCTATGGTTACAAAATTTCAATAGGACAGAAAATTGCAATGATATGAGTTTATATCATAGCGAAAATTATCAATAGAAAGCAAATTCAGCTGAAATTTTTTATATATATTTTTCCTAAATGATTTGGCTTTTCATTATCTATAGTAAACATAATGTTACAATGATACTGGCTGAAAATATCACGACTAAAAAAAATAGGACAGAACCGCGAGTAGATGTATCAAATGAAAGGAAGCAGGAGCGAGGGGGCGCATTGTTCCATACAGCTTTTATATAAATGAAGCGAGCCATTTCGCAATCATTCCAAGTTGGATTCTCGCCGCGTCCTATCGGGGAGCGAGAGCCGCATCGGTTTCGCGCGCAAAAGTGACAGATCTTAAAGAATAGCGTAGTTTTATTTACATATTTAATTAATTATCAATTAATAATAAATTTACGCATTCAATATGGCTGTTACAAGTGCTAGAAGCATTGTGAATATCAAAGAGAAGGGACACTTCGAACCTGAAAATGCCAGGATTAATAAATATACGGTAAATATATTTTAATTTCTATTAATTTATCTCGACACATTTATAATTATGTAATATATTTGGCACTTTAATAATTAAATTATAAACATGAAAGAAAGAAAATCGCTGAAACACTAACCTAACCTAACCCACCATGATTTAAATAAATTCAAAACATACGAAATGTCAATGAACATTGCCGGCCCACTTAATTCAAAAACGTGAATGAACTCAAAATATAAACAACGTAGTCAGTAATTAAAGTTATAAATAGCTTTTGAATCTAATTTGAATTTTTAGTGCATAACATATATTTATCTATTTTTAAACTAACGCTGTAAAACGAGTTATTATAATATTTTTTTAAATGAGGGTGTTGTATAATTAAAAATACATACCGACATTTACATTTGATTAGAGAAATCTGTAAAACACTTTTGTGACGTTCAAGGGTAGGCTTAATTATTGTAGTGTTTTGTTTTGATTATTTTTATCGATACTAATTCAGTCGTAGTCATTTTAAAAAGTAGTCGAATTTATTAAACTTGTATTTAAATTAATTACTTGAATCATTGCGGTCTTAATCCCTTCTATTTTATCTATACAGGGAGGTCACGATTAACTAATACGTACGAAATGCAATGATATCCGTAAATGAAGTCAGACGCATAAATTGGTTACGCATTATAAATATCACATAATATGGCATCCAATCACAAACTTGCTAACAAAAAACTAACAATATCGTTCTTTCGCCGATATTATTTTGCAAAAATATTAAAAAAAAAACTCACAACAAGCCTTGACTTTGCTTAGCTTAGATACACGAATCTTCTCTTTGTAGTTTTAATTACTTTGAACTAGGTGTTGCCTGTGATTTTGTGAGCACAGATTAAAAAATTGTATGAGCTATACCCCGCACATATAAACTACTTTCCAGTAAAAAAAACCATTAAAATCTGTTCTGTCTTTTCTGACCGACAAACAGACATAGAAAAAATTGTTAAAATTGGATTATCGTTATAAACACCGCAACATAATGTCGCGAAATATATATATAATGTTACATACAGACACTTCAATTATATTAATTGTATAGATTTTTATAATTTGATACAAAAATAGATTAGATGTGAATATTTTTGAATATTATATTAAATACCGATAAATTCTCACATTATTTAAATCCACTTCTATCCTAAATCGTTTTTAAATCCTTGAAATATTTAAATTTACTTTTACCTACAAATTTTAACATACAACCAGGAAGGAATTGCACAGTTATGCTAATTATTATAAAATCAATGAATTGGAATTATAATACCGTTGTCAACTCATGTATGTCCCCACTGAGGTGTAAAAAAGGTACCCTAGTTTAGGGGTGACGGATCGTTACACACGCTGGTCCAGTGCGGGTTGTCTTCACACATATCTTTGAATTTCTTCCCAGATATGTGCAGGTTGCATTACGATGTTTTCCTTCGCCATAAGAATGTAGTAAAAATAGCTTTCTAAATATACGCTTCTAGTAAATTTCATGAAATATCCTAAACTGCGTAGAAGTTCATTTTAGGTTATGTATCGTGCGCAATAAATAAAAATTTAAAAAGTAATAAGTCTGATTTTATTTTACACTTATGACTAAATAATATGACTCATAAATTAACCATTCTTTTAGATTGTTCAATTGTATTGACATTGTTTATTTACTATCTATATTAATTAAGCAACTTTTACAAAAAAAAATCCGTGTCAGTGTTATTTTAAAAAGATATAAAAAAAATTGCAAAATGTAATTCATTTAGTAATCGTATAGGTAATTTCCTAGTACCTATGTTATTTCGTACGATACTATTTTTAGAATCTTTATATTATTGTAAACAAAATATAAAAATTTTTGAACTTTACAATTAATTAATTTAAAACGAAGTTAGGTTCAATATTATTCGTTTTCCAAATACGTTATTTCCACACCGTTTAATTTGAACAATAACTTGGTTTATACATACAATGTGCACGATATTTATTGCCGATTTCGATGCACTAATTCGGTTACATGAGACTATAAATATAATAATGCACGTATGGATGGATTGTGGGATATATGACATTCGTAAGAAATAGATTCATATATGATGGCTGATGGAGATGTTTGAAAGAGTTGTACATACTGTGCCGACTCCTCCGAAAGCAAAAGGAAAGGCTGAAAGCAAACTATAGTAGATATGTTGGCAGGTTCTAACTTCGCGCAAATCGCTACGCAGAACATAACTTTAGGTGTAGCGGGACGTAACGGGATGTAGGGGCACTACGCAGCGCGCCGATAACCATGTTACGTTAGATATTTGAAAAGAACTATACTTTTTAAATCAATTTTTTTATTGAGAATTGTGATGTCTTTGACTAATATTTCGCTAGTAGATGCATGCGATTTAAAATTCTTTTTTATACAAAATTAAAATACATTTCTAAAAACTGTTTATTCATATCCGAGTTTAATTAACATTCGTTAATATATCAAAGGCCAGTACTGAACTGGGATGGCATAGTTTGCAATTAACATTGCTCTGCGTATCGATGATGCAATGAGATGATTCAGCTCCCAAGATCACGTACTTACTATAAGTTAGGGACAGAATTATTATATTCATCCAAGGAACAACGACATAAGTACCAAACATAGGGAAATGACTTTTTAATAAATATGTTTACTAAAATTCACATTTCGAATGTCTATGCATGACATAAAATTGTTGACAGTAAAGTAATATATAATACATGAATATTTAAAATATCAACAGATTGATGGGGAATATTATATTCTCTTGGTCAAACTTTAAAAAACGTTTTTCTGAAAAATAGCTAAAACTTAATTACGCCATTGTTCTATTGGATGCAGGATATGCAAAACAGTATATAAAAATGTGTGCTTCTATGCGTTTCTGCAGTGTGATGATGCGTTAATATTTTGCAATAATTATAGACAAATACTATAGGCCACAATGACTAAGAATGTTCCAGTCCACCTAGGCCACCGTGGTTGATTAAGGCCCATCACAGACTTATGGTAGGCTTAAACTCCTCGTCGGGAACATCTGAGTTGTTCTCTATATGTCATTTATGGAACACAAATGCAGGTTAGCTTATCTTCATAAAGTAAACATAATTTTCAGAAAACAATTCATTTTAATGTAATCACGGAAAATTTTGGATGAAAACTGGCACACACCAGAACCTTGATAATCGCAAAGATAAAAAAATAAGATAATATTTAAATTTGTTTTAATTTATTATGAAGAGCCTAAATAAATTATATCTTTGGCGGTTTTAAATATAAATAAAAAAATTCATTTATTTTATAATTACAAAGATTTCAAAGTCAAATTGCTCAGTGCTTAAAGCTAAGATTTATGATCATACACCTAAGGCTAAATTATCAAATTGCATAATAAGTTGTTAAATTGTGATATATAAATTACAACCTGTCGCCCGCGACTCCGTCCGCAAGGAATTCAAAAAACTTAAATATTAGCCTTACATCCATCCATTCATACATCCAAATTATTGCATTTATAATATTAGTAAGAAGTAAAATAATTCTTAAGTCGGCAACCAATTATTTAGCGTACACATTTTTTTATCATGCGCTAAAGTACAAAAACAAATACGTATAAAGAGCTATTATTTCGATTTCTCATAGTAATTATTTCAACTCCCTTGGTGCCACAGCTTCTAGCGCCTTAGCGTGGTATAAAAAAGTTACATCAGCATACAAAAGTTACTTTCCATTGATAGTCCCTTCAAAATCAGTCCCGACGAAATAAACGCGGACTTGTAGACAGACAAACATCTTAGAAATGAATAACACAATTACATCATGTATACGAAATGCTATTTTTTTTATATTACATACAGACATTCCAATTTTAACTATATAGATATACTAGCGGACCCGACAGACGTTGTCCTGTCTACACGTCTTTAATTTAAATAAATTAATATGAAGTTAATATTTTATGAAAATTGTGAATCTAAACCATTCCCAGATCCTCTTGAACACACACAAAAATTCATCAAAATCGGTCCAGTCCTTTGAGAGAAGTTCAGTGACATACACACTCACATAAGAATTATATATATAAAGATATAAATTTTGACAGCGATCTTGAAATAAACATCTAAATGTGACATCGTATCAAATGCAATCCTACTCGGATAAATAAATTATTACTATTGTATCAATGTGATAGCAATCGACCTTATCAAATGGCGATTATTTCAACTATGCCCACTTCCACACAATGACCTCGGCGTAGGCAATCCTGTTCGTGACTTAACATACGTCTAAATATTTTATATAGATATCACTATAGTCTAGGATACGCTTAAGAGTTGTTAACCTAGAATAAAAATTATATATAGGACGTGGCACCGACCTAACCTAACAACAAACCTTACAATCTAACCTAACAACCCGGTTAGGTACATTACATCATTACAATTGGATTTTTTATAAGGATCCATTGTTTTTATCCGTATTCAAAGTTTGTAACGATAGTCTTACTGAAATTTACTTTGAAACTTATCACAAATGTCAAGCATAATATACAGCTGTTAGAATTATATTGCGCATTCCTCGTAATATTAAGAATAGTAACTAAGCCGGAGACCTCTCTATACTTGTAAAGTGCGGATTTTACCGACTGACCACATCGCCTAACCAGTCACGACCAACGTATAGCGCTTATTTAATTTAATGAAATAACAATAAAATTGCGTACGTAAAGACTTACAAACTTTTCTGACCCGGTGAGCTTTACTCTAAACAATGATAGCTCACTATCGCCCTTTGTCATTGTCAAAAAAGGTCACAAGTTCCCTGTACTGTAGCTTTATTATATTTTTTCTTTTTAATTTCCTATGTCTATGTAGGTTTTATATATTTTGTGATAGAACTGGCCGCGATAGCAACACCTCTCACCGGCTCAGATAAGGTTATCGCACTATATTAGAATTAAATA